ACATGTCTAGCAAAGTGAATTCAACATAAGAAACCTTTTTCCTTGGATCAAGTATAGCAGCAATAAATAACACCAAATTCATTTTATCCACATTCCCCCAATACTTGTCAAATTTCTCTTTCATCTTAATTGTCATAGACTGTAAATCAACATCATCACCATTTTGCCATTCAATCAAAGTAGTATACATATCAGAAATGGAATCTAAAAAAGAATTAGCAGTTATGTAAGATGTGCCTGAAACATTCAAGGTCAAATAATAAAATTCTCTTAAGAAACGAGAAATCCTCTTAACATTTGTCCAATCTCTATCATCGGGCACCCCATCTCCTAACCTTATGAGCTCAGGTATGTAGCTATTATCACATAATTCAAACGATGCAAAAGCCCTCTGAAATTTCAAAGCTGTATCCAACATCAAAAAAGTAGAATTCCATCTAGTCCCCACATCCAAACACAATAAACACTTACTCTTAACTCCTGCACTAGCAGCACACTCTTTAAACTTAGCTAATCTAGTAGGGGATTGCTTAATATATCTCACCACCCCTCTAACACGAGCAATTGAGGAATTCATATCCTTCAATCCATCAGAGACCACAAGATTAACAATATGAGCAATGCATCTCACATGAAAAAATCAACCTCCTAAAATACTAGTTTCAGCAACATTATATATTTTCTTCAAATATCCTATTGCAACATCATTTGAACTAGCATTATCAACAGTGATAGAAAAAATCTTTTGGATCCCCCAATCCCCCAAACATTTACTAATTGCCTTACCAATGGCCTTACTTTTGTGACTAGTGATCGGACAAAAGTTCAAAATTTTTTTTTGCAACTTCCAATCATTATCAATAAAATGGGTAGTTAGATACATATAATTAATTCTTTGAATCGAAGTCCATGTGTCAGTGGTGAGACACATTCTACCAGGACATAATCTCAACAATTTTCTCATTCGAGTTTTTTCATCAGTATAAACCTTATAACAATCCTAGTAACAGTCCATCGTGACGCGGATACGAAATCTAGGACATGTTTTGTTTATGTGCTTCTGTATCCTTTATTTTTCACAAACTTAAAAGGCAATTCATCTAAATGATCATCTCAGCTAAACTCCTCCTAATTCCCTCTTGATCAAACTTCCAATTACCCAACCCATCCCCTCCTGAAGCAAGAACTAATTTTATCTGCTTGTTCTCCTCACTATCACGCACCAATTTCAACTTAGGACAAACTTTAATATGATTTTTCAAAAAGATGTTCCATTCTTTTTTGCATCAGCACACAATTCTTTACCACAATGAGAACATTTAGCTTTCTTATTACCTTTCTTATGAACACATTTGGTGAAGTGATCCCACACAATTGATGTAGATTGAGATGACTCCCTTTGCTTCCGCACTTTACTTACAACTTCACATGTTTTATTAGCTTCGGTAGAACTAGCAGTAACATGTGGTGTAGATGTTGATGGTGTTAGTGTCTCATTAGTTACAAAATTGGTTTCCTCATTAGTTGACATCTATAGAAAAAAATAATACCCAAATATTAATTCTAATGATTAATATTTACAAACAAAAAATAGTATTTTTACAAACAAAAAACAACATTTCATACCCATAATCTCTAATTTTTACAAACAAAAAATAACATTTCACACCCATCACAAAATAACTAACACTAAAATAAAATCTTTCAACTTTACCTTCCAGTGACAGTTGAAGAATGGGAGACTGATAAGCAAGGGTGAAGGGTGGTAGATCAATGGCTGCTTCGGGCCGAAAAAAGGAAAGGTCGGGACTCGCGGGAAGGGGGAATCAGGTTTGGACTTGCGGGAGGGGGGGTCAGGGGGGGGGGGAACCAGGTGGGGACTCATGGGAGGGGGGCCGGGGAGGATCAGGTCTGGATTCGCGGGAGGGGGGAAGGAGTTAGGTCGGCGATGGGGGGGAATTAGGTCGGGACTCGAGAGGGGAGGGAAGGAGTTAGGTAGGCGATGGGTAGGAGTTTTAGGTCGGGACTCAGAAGGGGGGAATTAGTGAGGTCCGGGGCTAGCCGCAGAAGGCCCGATGGGTTTTTTTTATTAATATTTTAGTCGGGTTTTCGATCGGTTCTGGGAGGAAGGAGTCCCCTCGACAACCGGCCCGATAACCTACGAGACCGATCGGAGCAACGACGGTTGAAAAAACAACAGTCGGTCGGTTGGCAATCCCAACGACCGTCGCACACTCCTAAACATCTATCAATAGATCATGCCTAGAATGCCCATTTTTCACCTGTTTAAGTCTCCAAACTTACTCATTTGAGCACCTAATTCATTTCCATCAATATCAATGCCTCAATCATTCATATGTGACTCAAATCTTAATACAAATATTCAAGTATAACATCAAACTTAAATCAAAACCTCAAACTTTAGGATTTTTCCACATATTACATAAAATAAAATTGCCTAAGTGTCAATATACATACTCCCATACACTTGGCATATTTAGCATATCATCAAAGCCCTCAAGGCATAATATATCACATAAATCAGTCTTAATTAATTTTATTCATATCAAAATCGGTGGTTTTACAAAGAATTACTTAGTACCTCCTAAGGATGGTGAGCTAAAATTTAATGTTGATACTCTGATGAAAGGTAAACCAGGCCCAACTAGTTGTGGTAGGTATTGTAATTTGCATTTTCTTTGGTGCATTGGGTGCACAGGAGGCTAATAGTGCAGAGATTCTGGTGATCAAAAAAGCCTTCTACCTATTTAGCATTTCATCTTGGAGAGGCTTCAAGGATTTGGTGATGGAATCAGATTCGAGTGCGGCACTTTCATGGGTGAACAATCCAAATTCAAGACATTGGGTGAATTGGAAGCTGTGTCCAGAAATCGATTAACTCAAGGAAGTCATAGGGAACGTCACCTTTGTTCATGCTTGTAGGGAGGCAAATAAATTTGCTGACTCGCTTGTGAAACTGGGGGTGATTGTTAGAACATGTCTATGGTGTTGTGGTAATTTATGCTTCTATGATTCTGCTGGGTAATTCATATCTGTGTGGCTTGATGTTTGTTTGGAAATATGTTGTGGCAGTTTATATTTGTAGTGGATAAATCTTGTAGAACTGAATTGGGTGATGCTCATGTGAGCTTTGAAAACTGGGTGTATTGGTGCTCTGTATCAGATTTTTATTTTCAATCTCATGTGATTGAGATGTGGTAGCTGTCAAGCTCTATTAATTAATGAAATCTATTGTTTGAGAAAAAAAAATAGTTGAACTTTTCAGAGCTAGTAACTTAAATATATGAATACAAGTATACATCTTTTCCCTCACTATTTTTTATTAAAGGGCAATTTCATGTCAAATGAGAAAGGAGATACAGCGATTTCCAGGGTCAGACATTGAGAAAAAAAAAGTTGATCTTTTCCTAGCTAATAACTTAAATATCTGAATACAAGTATACATCTTTTCCCTCACTGTTTTTTATTAGATGGCAATTTCATGTCAAATGGGAAAGGAGTAGAACGATTTCCAGGGTCAGACTGTACCGTCACTAACGGCCTACTACTTTTGGTTTAGGTTAAGCGCCATGGCGAGCAGTAGCACAGAGTTTTCTACTCACTGAACCAAAAAGAAATAATAATAATAAAAGAGTTTTGTAATCGAATTTCATGCTAACCGTCCAAACCTCCCACCAAACGCTCTAATTAAGAGTAATTAAGCAAGATGATATGACTCAGCAAAACTTCCCATAGGGGGAGGGCCAGAAAGAAACAAATTACTTTCAAAGCTGAGAATTATTTATTACAATCGATTGTGTGCGATGATGTGGCAGATTATGACTGGTTGTGGCATAGAAAGCTGAGAAATAGTGACCCAAGAGAATTGAACCCTAGGCTGAGAGTTTAGTCTATAAAAAGGAAAACATACAATGCATAATTCCACGCATCTCTAACTAAAAGCTTATTATAGAGTATCACCAGATCAAGGCGAAACAATGTCGTCGTCTCTAACTGGTAAGCTGGAGGCTTATGTGGAAGTCAAGGCTTCTGCCGAAATGTTTATGGATATGCTCTGCAACAGACCGCATCATGTATCCAACGCCTGCTCTGACAAGGTGCAAGCATGTGATTTACATGCCGGTGACTGGGGAAAGGAGGGTTCCATCATCTGCTGGAGTTATGTTCATGGTAAGATTGTCAACCAAAAAATTATGCTTCCGGGTCTATGATGCTTATATCTTGAGGAAGTTTTTCTTCGCAGGCTTAACTTAATTAATGCTAAAAGAGCTAGCTGAAGTAATAAAGTGATGTGCTAATGAGCACAACTGATTGGTTTCTCTTTTTAATAAATACTCTTTATATATTATATATAAGCAAACTGATGCAAGTAATACTTCATTTGATTATAAAAATGTCCTATATTTTAATTGTGAAAGAGATATCTTTGACACTTTTCCACAGTTTTCTTGTTTATTTATTTATTTTGCACAGCCAGCATCACAGTTTTCTCATATAATTGAAAAATGTTTCAAGCTCGAGCAAAGGATTTCTTATAATTGAGCTAACATTTTTTTTAATGAACAAAAGATGGGGAGGCTAAAATTGGGAAGGAAATAATCGAATCGATAGATCCAAAGAACCACTCAATCACTCTCAGACTGATTGAAGGAGACCTCTTGAAGGAGTACAAGAGCTTCGTAGTCAAAGTTCAAGCTACTCCGTCTCCAAAGGGCGAGGGCTGCGTAGCGCACTGGGTTACTGAGTACGAAAAGCTGAATGAGGACGTTGCACATCCGGAGACCCTGATGGAGTTACTAGCCGGAATCTGTAAAGATATGGATACGCACCTCACCCAAGCATAACAGTTACGGTGGTTCTTTTTCTGTTTATGTTCCTACCAGCCAGACTATTTCAAGCACCTATAAAAAAGGAATAAAGGCTAGAAATGTTTGTTGAATGTTGATATATAGCAGCTTGGCCTCGGCAGATGATCTGATCGATGGTGGCTGTATTCTGTTTTATGAGTTTGTTTGTGCATGCGTCAATTGATGAAAGACTTTCTAGTTTCTACATGTGATGTACCATCTGCTTCTTTTTATGGTAATATAAATTTTATCTATAATCTGTTTCAACTTTACTTGCAACGTTAATCTTGCAAGGAAATTGAGAAATGATTTTCCTAATAAGCATATTTCACAAATAACCATCAATATAAAGTTAACTGTTTTTATTCAATTTTACTATGACTTGACAAAAATATTTTTAAAGTCATTTAAGATAAATTAAATCATTTATCACAATTTTTCCTGCTCATTTCTCACTCCGACATGCATTTATTGTGCTCTTGATTTCTCTCTCTAGCCATTATGTTTTTTCTAATTTTATCGATTTCTCTCTATCACATCTGTTTGCTATGTTCTAGATTTTTCTTTTCCGCCATTTAGTTCTTTTTAATTTTGCCACCATCGTCATCTCTCGATCTATTTCTCGCTCTATCATAATCAATTTATAAATGAAAGAGCAGAGATGGCATCAATTTTATGTTTTTGGATTTATTGATTTACATTCACATAATCCCAAAGTTGATGGGTTGAAGTTATATAAGTGAAATCTGTAAATTACAAGATTACCCAGAGTTCTTACATGTCATGCCTACATATTGCAACTCTAATGCACTCGGTCTATAACAAATCTATTGAATATGAGACAGTTTAAACATGGAGTTTTATACCTTAAACATGACATGTAATAAATTTTTTTCCAATATAACTTGTAGCAAATTTTTTTTTTAATATGATGTGTAACTTGGTTTCTATCTATGTATTTCACATAAATTGTTTGAGTTAAGCACCTTAAACATGGTGTATAATAATTTTTTTTCAACATGAAGTGTAATAAATTTTTTTTTAATATGTCATGTAACTTGATCTCTATCTTTGTATTACACTAGGATATAAACGGTTGGAGTTAATGGAGTAAAATAACCTTTTTTTTAAAACATTACATGTAACAACTTTTTTTTAACATGATATGTAACTTGGTCTTTATTTTTGTATTTTACTAAGATACAAACTCTTTGAGTTAAACACGTTAAACATGGTGTGCAATAATTTTTTTTTCAGCATGGTGTGTAACAACATTTTTTTGTAACATGGTGTATAACTTGGTCTCTACTTTTGTATTTCACTAGAATATAAACTCTTACAGTTAAACACCTTAAACATAGTGTGTAATAATTTTTTTTTTCAATAAAATGAATAATAACATTTTTTTTTTGGGTTTTTTGAATTGATCCTTTTATTGAAGCTTTTGCAGCGGCTGCATACCTCCAGTATATCCTTAGAAATGGTGCTATTAAGTTTTTGGGATCCTTTGGCAGCAACTCCACCAACTAAAGAAAAAAAAAAAAACAAAAGACTCATCGAAAATTAAAATAGCTTTGTCTCCACTTCTCTATTTCGTTTTCTTCATTTGTTCGTTAGTGTGTATCAGAGGATAATTATGATGATGAATTTTTTTTTTCATCTTTTTTTTGTTATAATTTAAATATTTTGTTGTTAATTATTACACCTCTATATCATTGTACCTGAATAGTGGTGGCGTTGATTTTTTATTTTAAAAAATACAATATTTTTTTCGATACGTAAGTTTCATTAAGAGTAAATTTGTTTAAAATTTTTTTCTCTTAATTAAAAATAATAAAATTAAAAAAAAATTATTTTGTAAAATACCTTAATTTTGAGAATTAAAAAAAAATAGTCCCTTAATCTTGCTTTAGAAAAGCTATGTACACGCATCGCTGGAACGCAGAATGCTAACCTAACACTACTTTGACCTCATGCTTTTGAAAACTTTTTCTAGCTTCTAAAAGTTTAAAGTTGTTGACTGCCTATATTACTCAAATTAAATTTTTTTTAAGAACTTTCTTTTTTCCTTAGCCATGGAAACGGTATATTAAAATATTAAGAAGAGTACAAAACGGGTGAGCAAAAAACCGCTCAAGCAACAACATAAGAAACTCAGAAACAAAAGGCAACAGCAAAAACTAGCCAGAAATAAAAGAGAAATCAAAGCACAAAAGCGTAAGAAAACCATGGCTGCAAGAGCTGAAAAACATTGCTGAAGCAGGAAACAAAGTCATGACTGTTAAAACAAAGAAAACATGTGGCGAAACCACTTGAGGACAGACCTGGTTGCATAGAGAGCTAGCCTAAACAAAGCAACAAGAGCTGCTAAAGGGAAACGGAATCAGCAGGGCCAAAAAACAAAGGCAGGAGAAGGAGCCTCATAGAAAACATATTTAACAGTAACAGAACGGCATCATTTCACAAACTGCAACCAACGAACACCTCAAAATGCAATCAAAAGATAGAGGTTACCATAGGGCGGTAAACATAGAGGTTCGGTCAACTCCAAGTTTAGCAAGGGAATCAGTCATAGAATTGCCTTCTCTCTTAACAGGAACAAACTATACATTACCGATTGATTTAATAAGAGCATCAATCTCATCAAAAATCAACCATTTTTCCCATGGTCTTTGAGATTCAACGGACACGCATGAGAGAGCAGTTTTGTAATCTAATTGAATGATGAGACTTGAACCGGCATACTGTTATTAACAAACCAAAAGCACTGTAGCTTATCATATTTTAGGATTATTTTACTTCCAATATAAAATTTTGAGTTCTAACCATTTTGGTATCCGCTTTAGAGACATTTATTAGTGATTTAATTTATAGTGTTAAAAGTTTGTTTAACAAAGTTTATATATTATGATTTGCATAGGTTAATTATTTATTATATAAGAATAAAGTATTAATTACTACTAATATTTTACTGATTGATGTTTGAATAGAGTGTTGGATTATTGATTTTTTAATCATTATAACGTACTTATTTGAGATTTTTTTTTACAACTGATGTTTGATTTTCATGTGATACAGAAAATGGTAATTTTGAATTTTCAGTAATTTATTATTAATAAATCAAAATAAACATAATGTGTCAAAAATGATTTATCAAACATAAGGATCTTTAATAATCAAAGACAGAGCCACTTTAGGAATGATTATGAGATCAACGTAGTATTTATACCATTGGAGTTGTATTGGAAAGTTTGCAAGGATTTTGAGTGTGTGAGAGAGGGTGCAGAGAAGGGATTTGTGGCAAAGCAAGGCATCAGGCTTGACTATGAGTTGCTAGCCTTGGATAGCCTTTGTGAACCTCGACATACATTTTCAAGGGTTGTTTCTGTACTGTATACCTCTTAGCCGAACCTAAACTATAAAGTAGAAAAAAATTAATATTAGATTTTTACATTAAACATAGCAAGTTGTGCTTGATGTGTTTTTATACTTTCAAATTCACTTTCATATATAATAAAATAAAAGTATACACATTAAATTAATAATACATAACAATAATTGAATTACAATATCTTTTATAAATTCAAATATTACTATGATAAAGTAAAAGTAAAAATTAAAATTAAATTGGAATTTGGGAATTAAAAAATTATTAACTATGAATTTTGATAAATTAATAATAAATGTTTGGAATTTTAAAATTCATGTGAATTAAAAGGTTTAGTGTAGTTATTTGGCTTGGAAAAAAAAAAAATTTTTGATTGATTCATGAACAAAGTAAATAGGGGAAAGAGATTTCAAATATCTGTGGGTTAAAGAAACAAATTATTTGATCGATTCATGAAAAAAAAGAATAGGAGCAAGGGCGAAACCATGTGTAAAGGGAAAACAAAAAGAATGAAGGCTTTAAAAAAAACTAAATTGTAGGTGTGCTGTAAAAAACTGAAAGGTAGGTGCGCGGTGCACTGAATGAAAAGTAAAAAGGGAAAAAGCTATGCAGTGCACATGATTTATCACTATTTCAAAATAATTTATTTGCTTTTATTAAAGGAGGTAAAATTATATATTTCAATTTATACACATAAAAATAAAAATAATTAAAAATTGAGGGACCTGTCGGGCCTCTTCCTCCGCCACTAATTCTAACATACGAAAGATGTAAGTAAAATTTTAAAAAGTTCGAACGAAAACCCTCAACAAAAATAAACAACCTAATTGGTTATCAAAGTTTTTGAATGTTTTCAATTATAGTCACTCATCTTTAGCATGTTAGATTTGGTCACTAACGTCATAAAAAAAGTAATTCATTGTTAGTCACCTGTCATTACACACTAATAGAACTTATACTTCACAGAACATGTCACCTTTTTTTAAACAGCATGGCGTGTGACATGGAAATAACATAAAGTAATTTTCAACAAAAGTTGGCTATCAAAGTTTCTGGATTTTTCTGTTCTCATAATTATCTAACTTTCAAAGTTATATTTTTGTTATAAAAATTGATGACATGAACGTTAGGCATGAATTCCTTTATATACTTTCAAATTCAACGTAGATAAATTAGTTCGTAAGAAATCAGGATTAACGAAATGTGATGGGGTCTTGAGGACCTCAGCAAGTATTATTCCAGTTATTTTTCTGGTCCTATTGATTATTATGATTCGAATTATGCTGAGTAGTATACCATTAAAATGGCTGTGGAGATCTTTCAAAAATCACATTGGTTAGAAAATTTTCCTTTGATAATTCAATCCGATTCCAAGATGCCGGTATCATGGGTGTTGAATCGTCTCTAAAGTTCAGGAAAATTTTAGAATTTATTGCAGCAAATTGACACTTTATGGACAATAGTGGGAAATGTTACATACAAAAATATTTTTAGAGAGGGAGTGGGCAAAGAAAACATTCTTAATTTGTTGGTGCCGAATGTTAATTTGCTTGAATGCTTGGGCGTCCTTGAATTTCAATGTATAATTAAAGCAGATAGATTTGGTGTCAAACATAATGGTTGTTTTCTATGTTTA